ACGTCTTCCTGAGATGTGTAAACACTGACAACAAGAGGAAAAGATGGCGTTCATTTCAACGTTTCAAACGGGTCAAAATGATCCCAAAAATCCCCAAAAACACAAATCAGCTCGGGTGGGATTCCACGTCTGCAGAATGAACCTCAGAGGTCAAAGTTCAGCCTGCACAAAGTGTAAGCCTCCATGCTGTAGTGAGCAGCACCAGATTAAAAATGAGTAAACGGTGTGACCACGTCTCGCTTGTGAACAGGACGAGAAAGAACAAAAAAAAAAACTTTGGCTTATAAGTAAGAGAGAACATTTTGTACTAAGTGTGAGGGTTTTAATCCTCCAGCGGCTGATCCGACCTCCTCGACAGTTTCTGAGAGTCCCTCTGCACCTTTAAGAAAAAGCTAAAGACCCAGCTCTTTCATGAATACCTACTAACTTAATGATGATGGTCTCCATATTATTGATGATGATGATGGTAATGACGATGGTTTTTGTTTGATAATGACGACTTATAAGATGGTTTCTATACTGATTAGAGCTCTCAAGAACTGCCCTCAATATTGTGCTTTGCCTCTGGTCACTTCCTGTCAGCACCTGTGTGTCCAATCAGACTCAAAGCTGATCGTTTGCTCTTACTCACATTGTTCCCTTTTTTCTAGATCCTTGCTTGTGTTGTTCTTACTCTCTGATGTACGTCACGTAAGTGAAACATTACACTGAGAAATTAAGTTTTGAGCACGTTGTCACCTTTTTCTGAAAGCTTTCACACCTGCAGAAAACTCCTGAAGTTTCTCGTTCTGAGCGTCATGTGTGAAGACAAACAGCTGATTGTTTCTCTCAGACTTCATGAGCAGTCCTCCTGAAGTGATTTAGATATTTTCCGGATGTGAAAACGTCTTGAGCGATCTGTTTCCTGTTTATTTCTGTCACCTGTGGGAGACTTCGACTCGTATGTTGACACACGTGAGGCGAGTTTAAGAACCCCCGAGGCGTGAAAAAAAACCTGCTAATGCTCGTGTGAAAAAAAACCCATCCGAGTCTGTGTTCAGACACTGCAGAGTCTGGATCCATTAAGAGCTCAAACACAGAGCTGATGTTAAGAGAGCGACAGATCGGGGAGAACAAACCTGTACCTTTAAAAAGACGTAAAAATAACTTTGTTCCTGCCACTGAAGCAATATTTGTACATTTTTATTCTCTAGAGCCCGACCGATGAATCGTCCAGCCGATAATATCGACCGCCATTAACATATCAAGTGAGTATCGGTTATCGTTGTAGTTCTTAAAATCGCTCTTGGTCTCCAGACCGATGTTTAAAGGTCTCGATCTCAGAGTCTGAAGCATTTTGTCTCGGCCTCAGACTACGATTAGCTTGTTGAAAGCTGTTGTCCCGCCTCTGATTAGGCAAATAGCCAATCAAAGATTTTGATTTTTTCAGGTGGCACATGGGGTGGCCAATTAGATTTCAAGGGGGCCCCATGCCACCCCGTGGTCGCCCCTCTGGACACGCCCCTGACTCTGGCTGTTTATTGATTATAACTTTCATTCAACTTTCAAATTATCCAAAATTGTCAAAAAAAAAACAAGCTTATTGATTTCTGTGAAGCCAAAGTGATAGTAAAGTGAATATTTTGAGGATCAAATTTGTTTGATGTCTCCTAACAGACGACATAAATGATCAGGTAAACAACAGAAAATGGTTTAAAACTGAAACCACAAAGACCTGAAGACATGAAGACATGAAGACATGAAGACATGAAAACACATAAAATAAGGAACTTTAAGGAAATAAAAGGAGAAGAGGAAGCACTTTCAGTCAATTAAAAAGTCTTCATGGATGAACAGCAGAGAATGAGTGAACAATGAGTAAATATTTAGATTAAATTTATCATCACGGAGTCCAAATAAATAAAGATGAATAGAAAGAGAGACAGACAGGTGGAATATTTTGGAAATATCGTAGGAAAAAGACAAGAAGAAGAAGAAGAAGCATCTTGAAGTGACATCAGACCAAACTTAAAGGTGCAATCTGTAGATTTAGTCGTGGAATTTGAAAGTTGGAGAAGTGAAAAAATTAAATGCTATTTTTTTAACTGAATACACAAACTTTATTCAAAAGAAAAAAATGTCTCCCTGGATTCTGTTTGGAGGTAAAAAGCGACCAGGAGAGTTACCACCACCACAACTTCTAGCGAAGCATTTTATCTTCTGGCAGTGTTTCAGGGACCACATTTTCCTCAGAGGACAGTTTGTGTATAGAGTTATAAACATATAACACAGAATCTGTACATTTCTCCAACTTTCACATTTCTCTACCAGAACTCCATAGTGCACCTTTAATACAGATTAATAGGGTTATTACAGATATAAAACAGATGATTTCGCACCTTTAAGTTAAATTATGTAACACTTTCACAGAGCCGAAGTAATGACAGGATTGGACAATTAAAAATAATCCATCATTTAAGTATAATAGAAGCTGTGTTGAGGCGTGAGGCAAGAAAATGTGAAAATGTGAACGTAGTCCGGCGTGCGTAAAGTGACGACGTGTTTAGCCGCCTGATAGCCCGCTGAGTAAATTCTGAGCAGCACTGTAGTGAACTGGAGGTGACACTGAGATCAACAGGGTGAAGAAAGACGGTGGAGAGGGATTTAATTCAGAGCTGAACTCACCGGGATGAACGGCTCTGAACGGCGCGGATGCTCCCGCACAGAAACTCCGTCTGAAAACGTCCAAGTTTAGAGAAAATAGGATTTAACGCTGAATCCCGCTTTGGCACTCCGGCTGGCACATCCACAAGCAGCGAGTGCGAGTGTGTGCATGAGAGAGGGAGGGAGGGAGGGAGAGAGAGAGAGAGAGAGGAGAGAGAGAGGACAGAGAGAGAGAGAGAGAGAGAGAGAGAGAGAGAGAGAGGGAGGGAGGGAGGGAGAGAGAGAGGGAGAGAGAGAGAGAGAGAGAGGGAGGGAGAGAGAGGGAGAGAGCGAGAGGAGAGAGAGAGCGAGAGAGAGAGAGAGAGCGAGAGAGAGAGAGAGAGAGAGGTGGGGACCCCAGGCAGTCTGCGCATGCGTGATCACTCAATCAGGTGGAAGAAGGAGAAGGGAGAGTTTTCCCTAGAACACGCCCACCTGCTAGGATGTAAGGAAACACACACACACACACACACTCATTAAACTAGGTGTGTGTGTGTTTGACTTCAAAGACAAATTAATTTACTGTGTGTGTGTGTGTGTGTGTGTGTGTGTGTGTGTGTGTGTGTGTGTGTGTGTGTGTTTGTCCTAGATAAGCTCTATACTGGTTCCTCCCTTGGCAAAAAAAATAGAAAAAACAGTCAGGCTTCCCTCTCTTTTTTCCACACACACACACACACACACACACACACACACATTTTGTTTTTTGTGTGAACATTTTCCCCCTCCATTCATAAAAATTGTAAACCGTTAATTGCTCGTATATAGAACAGTTTATCAAAGTCAAATTATTTATCTGGCCAAAGAAACTGAACCTGATAAATAAAAAATAAAAAACTGTAATCCAAACTACGGGAGCCCTCATAGGACAAACATCTCCACAGTTATTTAATCTTTTTTTAAGACAGAGAGAGAGACAAGTGGAGACCGTCTTTGTTGTGAGGAACTGTTTGGTAAAGTGTTTGTGAAAATGAGCCTGGACACACACACACACACACACACACATACACACACAGATCAGGTTGTGTGTGTGTGTGTGTGTGTGTGTGTTGCCTGGTGAATAATTGCCTCTCTTCAAAGCAATCAGAGCAACAGAACCACAAACAGACCCGAGTCGCCCCCCTCCTCTAAATCTCTCTTAAAGACAGAAAGAGTCTCAAGTGCAACTAATAAACTAATAAACTAATAATCACACATTGTTCATCAGAGTGAACGACACACCTGTGTGAGGAGAGACGTGTGTGAGAAACAGCTGAAGACCGTTTTTACCACAAATGAAATTAAAAATGATTTAATGACTGAATAAATAATCAGAGTTTGACACATAAAGACGTGACATCAGAAGTCTCTCAATATTTTTATTTGGCAGTTTTAAACGACAAAAACACTTTAAACACGAAGATATTTAATCACACGTTGGTCCCTGTTTGGTGTTTATAATTTAAATAAAAACAAGAATTCACCTTTAACCCTTTTTGGTCTAGTCGCTGCTTTTCAGTCAGGTCCAGAGTGAGCCGTCCATTTCTGAGATCAGTCTGTTCGGGTCTTTTTTCAGTCATCTCACCGTAGTTTAATAAACAAGTTAACCCCGTTACATTTAGGAGCTTTTCTTCCATTTATTTGTTGTTCTTTAGATTCTTCTTCAAACTTTGTCTGCAGACTAAAGAAGTCCTCACAGTTTACCAAAGTCAAACATGAACTTTCCAATTCTAAATAAAGATCTCAAACACATAAAATTATAAAACTCTTATAGTAAAGTTAATATCTGAAAACAAAAGTCTCCCCGTTTACTGATGATAAACTGTTATTCTTTGCTCTCTCACAAACAAGTCACAAGAACAACAGTCAATATCAATCAGTAAGAGATTCTGCTCCTGAATGCTCTGGATTTGTTTGGACCAGAGAAGGTAGGCGCTTTTAAGACACCCCCCCACACGGCCGTTTTGGACGCCCCTCAGTTTGTCAGATATGAGAGCAGTTATCAGGTCAACAGGTGTTGCAGCGATGGAAGCGGTCAAGAGAAGTGGTTCAGATAGAAGTGATTGTACCCGACCTAAAAAGCCTCTGCATGTTTCTAATAAGCTCCACGAGCAGAAACGTGCTCAAACTAGGATCAATATTGGAGATGCTTTTGAAAAATGGAGAGAGGTTAGAACACAGAAAGGTTTACAGACCCATGCAGAGCTGGATAAACACTGAAGCTTCAGAGTCCACCACATGGTGACCTGAGTGAGCATCCACTCTAGAGAGGAGGGAGGGGGGGAGACAGCTCTCTACGATGTTTAGAATTTAGACTGCAGTACCCATTAAACCACTAGGTGTCAGAGTTACATCCTGCTCCTTTAAAGTAATATTTATTGGTTACGTTTTGGAAGACAGAGAGATATGGAGTCATTAACAGTCATCATTTCTGAAGGTAAATGGTTTTGAAACATTATTGCACAAATAACACCCACAGTCGTTTCATAGTCGTCATCGTCGTCTGAGGTACGTAAACACAAACAGATCATGACATCACAGTCACAGGAAATATAAAAAGGCAGAAGGATGTTTGGATAGATCGAGCAAACAAAACAAAAACAACTTTCCCTCAAATTTCAAACCATGAATTCAAATATTTTTTAACTAAGATAGAAAAAAAGAAAAAGAAAAGGCTGCACTTTGAAGCTTCACAAAGTTACTAAATAAGTTGGATTGATTTTCATCTTTGGCGTTTGATCTCCGCCGGGGACACGTTTTTCATTTGTTGACAAACGATAAGCATCGACTTAAAATTAAAAACTGTGACAGAAGATCTTTGTTTTGCTAGAAAGACAAGAATCCATCATCCTGGACCCCTAAACCAATCAGAAGCGTCCACATGAGGAGCTGTGGATGGTTCATGTTTTTCCTGCAGTGGTGTTGAGGCACTTTGAGTTGCTGTGAGTTTCTGACTGCAGTGGCTGAGGGGATTTTTTTTTTGAAGTTCAAAGAAAGGCTTAGTGCCTCACAAAGGATTAGATGGATTTACTCCCCAACACACTAAGACAGAGGAAAGAAAACCAGGAGGGGGGTACATATGACTGTGTCTCTGTTAAACAGGTCACAAGTCACAAGTGCTGTAAGTCCTTAAATGTACGAATAATATAGAAAAGAGAGTTCATTCTTCAGAGTCCCTTTTGTCCCGAGAACAATGAACAACCTCTTGAAAACTTCCCAAAGCTTCCTGTGCAGTTTCACAATATTTTCAGATTTTGGTTAATGATCTAATTCTACATTTTTAAGACTTTCCAGTCCTCCAGGCTCAAAACCCCCCAAAAATTTTCTAATCTATTGTTTTTTAATTTCTGTAGTGAACGATCGGGTTTCCAGGACTTAATTCCCAGACAAACAGACTTCAATCCGACTCTGGTATAAATAAATTACCTCACAATGCAACACTCCCAAATTTCATTCAAACTCATTTCCTAATCAAAAAAGTCTCAAAAGAATCCTCTCTCTTACTATTCATAAAACAGCGTCCATTTCTCCTAAAACAGATTCCAGTCCGGCGTCCGTGCACCTCCCGTGTGGTCAGATTATGTTGTTGTTGTTGTTGTTGTTGTGTCAACTTTCTTCCAGCCAGGAGGGGGAGTCCGTGCTGCTGTTGCTGAGGAGTTCTTCAGCCTCTCGGCTGTTTTTCTCCAGGAAGCTGTGACACGATAAACTGTGGGCAGCGACGGCGGCGTGGAGCAGCAACAGCTGGTTATGGAGGACTTTGACCTGCAAAATAAAAAAGCCTCAACTGTTTCAAACACATCAGCGTCATGTAGCGAGAAAAACAGATCGACCACAGATCTCCTCGCTCACCTTGTTCTCCTCCAGCAGCTTCACTTTGACGCTCAGGTCGTCTCGGAGCTTCTGAAATCTCTCCTTCTGGCCCTGAAACTCTTGTTGAGCCGCCTCCAGTTTGGGCAGCGTGTTAGCGTCTCGGGGTCCCATGTTCAGCTCCTCCAGGTCGACTCGGTACGCATCGTACTCGATCCTGGAGGACGGAGAAGTTCACGAGGTCATCGTGGGGGAAAAGGGTCTCCAACATATTTGTGCTTGTTGGATCATTTTTTGTTAGGGTTAGTGTGTGATCTGATGGTGGTTGGGTTTATTGAACACAATGAATTGAACTTAAAAAAAAAGAAATGTATGTGGAATTGTCTGAATCATAAACTTTCACTATTTGTTCAGATGTTCTGTAATGGTCTGGAAAACCTCGAATCTGCAGCTAAAAAACTATTTTTTTGACCACAGAATTTGATTAAGTAAATCTTATTTCTTCTCCTAAACTGATTTCCTACATTTCCCAGAATCCTTTTCACCCTTGTCCCTTGTTCTGCGTTCATATAATACAGCATGAGTGATAAAATGGGAAAAATCTCTAGGTTAATGTGTACTTTTACTTAACTTGAGATTTTCCTACATTTCCCAGAATGCATTTCTGTACACCACATTTATTTTCTGCCCCTGTTGGTGCAGTAAGCAGCTTCTATGTTTCTTCTTTAATGTCAGACGGTTTATTTTTTGATCCCTAATCTGAAGTCAAACACTTGAAACTATGTGAAAATCAGCTGACAAGAAACAGGAAGTGCGCTTTCCGCCCACCTGGCCGCCTCGTACTTCTTGGCGTTGATCATCGTGTCCTCGATGGTTTTATTGACCAGCGTGTTCATGTCGGACGTGAAGGTGTTAATGGCCTCCGTCAGAGACTCACCGCTCTTTGACAGAAAGTTCTGGGCGTCTGCGTTCAGACCGAACTCCACCTGAGAGACGAGAAGAAAAAGAAAGGAGAACTCTCATTGGTCCACAGCAGCTGACTCCAACATGGCCGCCTTGTTTCTGAAGCACTTTAAGTAAACACCTCCATCAACTCTCAGATTATGTGTTAATTTACTTTGCGACTTTCAGAGCAGATCTTTAGACCAAAACAAATTCTCCTCCTTCATCCCTCAGCTCCCACCTCCCCTCCTGCCTCAACACTTCCCCCTCCCCCACCCCTCCCTTCCTGTTTCACCAGCAGGTGCCTCGGAGAGCGTCCGGAAAGTTCTCATGAACATCTGAAAACAAGATTCTGCGATCAATTTCAAGTGAGTTTTTTTTTCATCTCAAAGTTGATTCTGTTTTTCTTTTTAGACCAAAAACTATTTTTTCCTTCAGTTTAGAAAGTCTCTTGGTTCCTTCAGTTGTACTTTTGAAAGACCGTCTGTAATTATGTCCCTGAGTGGGCGGAGCCATCTCTCTTACCCTAAGTGGTGGCAGAGCTAAGGGCTAGAGAGGAAGAGGTTCAAGTGGAAACATAAACAAGCTGAAGGAAGCGCTGTTCGCTCAATGTGAACAAATTTAATTTTTAAGACTCACATGCAGCGTTGGTGTTTTCACTTTGAGCTCACTGAAGGCGTCCCCCAGTGTCTTCTGGGTAACAGTGATCTGAGCGAGCTGATTGGCTAGCGTCTGAGCCACCTTAGTGACGTTTTCGTAGCGCTGTCGGTCATCTCTGAGCAGCTCGAGTCGACGCTCCAGGTCCAGATCCACCGTGCGAGATCCGCGGCCGAGTTTCTCTGACAGAGCCTGGCGGGTGCACTGCAGGGACGGAGGGGGGGCGGAGCTTTAACGAGACCGACTGATTTGTTGATTTATAAATTAAATATTTACCTCTTGATAAAAGTCTCACCTTATACGTGGTGATGCTCCACTTTCTGACTCTCAACAGCTTCTCGCTGGCCGGGTTCTTGTTGCCTTGAACGACCACAGGTCCACTTCCTGCTCGCTCCGGTGTCGCTGAAGAATTCAACAAATTCATTATTATTATTCACCAGTTTGTGTCTCTTATGGTGATAAGAGGTGATCTTAAGGTGATATTTATCTCTTATCGATAAATAAAATGGATGGAAGTTAACGAACACATTAGAATACAAGCGAGCTAATATTAGCATAAGAACCATTCCAGACTACATAAACAAATAATCTACTTCTAGCCTCGGACAGGGGGCTTCTATCTGAGACACGAGGGACCATCACAGCCTATTATAAAGCTAGAACAATTACTTGGAATCACTGGGACTGCTTTAAGTTGTTCTATAAGTCTTCTATACACACCAAAGTTAGCTTGGAGTTCCACAAGGTTCAGTGCTTGGACCGATTGTTTTTATAAAATATATGCCTCCGCTGAGGAGAAAATGAAAGTGATTTTTTTTCGAACCAAACCACACTGTTGGGCTCTATAAGGTCTTCTACTGGTTTTACCTTCGCCCTGCTCTGTTTCCATGGTGACCTCGGGCGTGGCCTCAGCTGGATGGGAGCTGACATTGTTGTTGTCGGTGTGGTTGAAGTTGCTGTTTGCTTCCTGGAAAAATAGAAAACGCATCCTTGAGTAGAGTACAGATGGTTACGGGTCATAAAATCGGCATGAAGTCAAAGTTAGATGGCGTCCAATCAGATCCAAGATAAGGTTAAAACAACCGGATATCTTTTTGCTGCCATTTTGCTGCGCCTCCTTTAGTTGCCCAACCTACTTCAGACTTAGATTTATCTGCGAGTAAACCTGGAAAGTCAAGATTTCTAAATCAGCTTTTGGGGGTAGTTTCACATTTCCTACAGTCCCTGAATGCAGCGCACTCCTCCATTCCTGGAACAAGAACATCACCGGTGAGGTCAGAAGTCAAAGCATTGTGACAACACTCGGAGGAATCACCGTGGGAACCGGATCTTACGGGGGGCCAATCAGAACTCGGATCAAAAGGTTGTGAGGTTGCCACGGAGATGATGGCTCCCTGTTGTGATTGGCGGCAGGCAGGGAGATCAGAGGTCAACGGAACACTCAAGACAGGAAATGGTCACCTGACGCAGATGAGCGGTAACGACACACACACACCCGCACTAATGCCGCCACTGTCGTCTTCGATTACACACACACACACACACACACACACACACACACACACACACAAACACACACACACACACACACACACACACACACACACACACACACACACACACACACACACACACACAGACACACACACACACACACACACACACACACACACACACACACACACACACACACACACACACACACACACACACACACACACACACACACACACACACACACACACACACACACACACACACTTTCTAAAGGTTGGGGATGCTGGTGTGTGACCTGGGGTTTGCTGGTTTCTTGAATGAGCTCTTAAAGGGACAGTACATCTTAAACTTCCAATCTGAATTATGCGGAGGCGTTTCAATCACGTTTATTTTTCTGCATTTGATAAAAAATGTTTTTTAAAGTATTCAAAAATTAGAAGAATTTCTCTTTTTTTTTGTTTTTATGACGTCTTACCGCGGGAGGAGTGGATTCCTCCGTGCCGTTGGTCGCCGGGCTGACACCGTCTTCATGCTCCGCCTCCTCCATCATTTTTGCTCCTCCCCTTTCTTTTTTCTTCTACTGCCTCCTAAAGACAGAGCAAGGAAAAACAAATGTAACCGACAATTCTTCTTCAAAGTGGATTCTGAAAAAAAAAATCATGAAGGAGGGCGCCGGTGGCCCAGTGGTTAGTGAGCGCACCCCTTTGTACAGAGGCTAACAGCCTGCAGGTTCGAATCCGACCTGTGCATCCTTTCCCAAATGTCATTCCCTGCTCTCTCTCTCTCTCGCTCATTTCTGACTCTTTCCACAATCTCTCAAAAATAAACCTTAAATGAAGTATTTACCGTCTATCATCGTGACTGTTGTGACTCTGTCACGCTGCAGAGCTGCTTTAAGAAAACGATGTGGTGTAGTAACGCCTGACTCATCACTGTGACCTGTTTACTAAATCTGCAGAAGCTCAGTCTGGAGGGATTAGCAGGACGTTGTTCCGGTGGCTGGAGAGGTGCCAGGTCACTTCCTGACTCCTGCCGAGGTGCCCTTGAGCAACGCACTGAACCCCCGCCAGCTCTGATGCTCTCTCTGTGTGCAGCCCCCCCCACCCTGACATCACTCCATTAATAAATGTCCTCAGCTGCTGTTTGAGTAAGTGTGAAGCATGACCGAGTGAAAAACCAGAATTTCCCTCAGAGATGAATAAAGTATTTAAAATTTTAAAAATGAATTATGTCATGTTTATTATGATTTGAGCTGCAGCCGCCATCTTGGACAGGTCACCATGATGAAACAGATCTTGATTAATTACCTGGTTACAAAAAAAAAAAAGGTGATGTCAGAGTTGTTCCTGGTGAGTTAAACAAACGTCAGAGTGGTTAAACAGCAGCCCCTAGTGGTGGACAGGAAGAAGTACAACCAACCACAGGATGTCAGAATCTAGAGCTGACATTTCTCCATCAACCTTAAATAATCCCATTATTCTCAAACACATGGTTTAGTATTTGAGAGAAGAGGATGAATGTATGCGTGCGTGCTCTGTGATCACGTGAAGAACTGTCAATAAAGTTTGTTATTTGACTAAGGATAAAGAAATCTCTTGGTTCTGATGTAATAAAAGAACAAAAGATTCCAGATAAGAAACGACACAATCAACACTGTGTCCTTCTCTTACACTTCAGTTTAATGTCGTCACGCTCTTATCTCTTATCATCTCGTCACCACGAACCGTTAACGTCCTCTTTCACGCGCTCGTCTTCCTCTCTCCTGTTTCTCATTTCACACGTCGTGTTTGTTTGAGTTTTATCGAGCAGGAATAAGCCGAGTGATACGAAGTCTAAAAAACATCAAACGTTGATCACATGATGAGATATTAACTTGAGAACGTCTGACAGACAAAGAGAGAGAGGAAGTCAAATGTTTCTTACAGTAAGTCCAGAGTCCACTCGGCTCGTCTTTATGATATAAGACACAGTAAACGGCTGAACTTTGATGCCTGGAAACAATCGTGTTTATGACACTTTATCATCTCACATCAAAATATATTTCACATGAGTTTTTATAAAAGATAAGACTTTTGAGTTCTGTTCATCAGAAAGGTTGCGATGCTTTAGCTCAGTGGTGTCCAAACTTTTTTTCTTGCGGGCCAAAATAATCGTGTTAGAATCGCTCGCGGGCCACAGGTTTTGTTTTTTAAAATATAGTTTTAAAAATAGTAAAGCTTTGTAGATCAGAATCAAAAGGCTCGCTAAAGAAACCCTTTAATAAAAGGAAATCAAATATTTTGATTTCTTCGTTCTACTTTATTTGTTTTTTTCTCAGAGTCTGTAACGTGGTTCATGTTTTTAGAAAAGCTTTCTGCATTTAGCTCAGGTCATTAAATGGTTAAACAACAGTCCGCTTGTTTGAAAAAACTTTACATAAGTTTTTTTTCATAGTTTACAAAAAATGTGGAAAATAGTAAAAGCTGTAGATTTAAAAAACAACAACAACATACATGTTCCTGAACATTTTCTATTTTAGGAATATTGTTCAGCGCTTGTTAACATGAAAAAGAAAAAGAAGATAATGTGCCGATCTTAATCAAAATCTTCTGATTCTTCATTTGAAGTCACGGGCCTCAAAAAATCCCCTAAAGGGCCTCAAATGGCCCTCGGGCCGCACTTTGGACACCCCTGCTTTAAATGTAACTCAGAGTGAAACTTCTCTCAGGTGATGAACGCACTTCTGCTTTTCTAGAGGAAGAATCATTTGACTTCCACACGGGGAACAAAGTTAATAAAAACAGGTTTAACAGGTATGAAGAACATGTGAGGATGTCAGTGTTATTCACTTTCTCTCTCCCACATCATCAGAGCGACGTCTTTTACTTTCATTTCATTTAAAGTTGTGTTCCAACTTTTAGTCTTTAAAATAAATCTACTGTTGTCGTTAATGTGCATCAATCATTATTTTTTACCGCTCTCTTTTTATCGTGGGGGGGGGGGGGGGGGGCTGGAGGCGAGCTGTCATTGGGCGAGAGGCGGGGTTCAGGGGCGGGTCCAGATGATGGGTGGCCAGGGGTGGCATGCCCCCCCCCCCCCACAGAAATATGAATGGCCACCCCAGTTGAAACCCCCCAAAAAATCCTAAACTGTGATTGACTGTTTGCCCTGTCAGACATATGACAGATAATGCTGCATTCAGGCGCAGCTCCGGTGGTTGGGAACTCGTTCTTCAGTGTGTTTACATGATTTTAGTTCGGAAAGTCGGGAAAGTTTTAACAACAGCAGAAAAGCGTTGATGGTACGAAGACGAAGATCAGTGAAATGTGGTATCAGATGTGCAATACCCGAATGAATTAAAAGTATGTTAACATTAACAAACATCTTTTGCCCCCATGTTGATGACGATTCTGACGTCAAGTCGGGAAGTCGGCATCTCATTCTTTTTTCTGAGGTGTTGTTCCGACTTCAGCAGTTTGTTTTTGGAAACTCGTTTTTACTGATTTGTCCGACACCACATGAATGCAGCATAAGACAGGCGTACAGGAAAATAATACACTCACGGTGCATTCATGTGGGGTCGCAAAACATCGTAAAAACTAGTTTCTGAGTTGTGAAATGCAGATGAACGAACAACAACTCGGAAACTCTGAAAAAAAAAAGGTTGCCGACTTCATATCTGTCATCACATGGGGGGGGGGTCATAATTATCTAGTCATAAAACACCACAGATACAATCTAGAGCTGCTTGTTGAAGTGTCGTGAGTTTGATTTTGTTTGGGGTTAAATTAAAAATGAGTCTCGTCTTTCAGTCTAAGATGTTTTGGAGTAGAAGCAAAAAATCTGACATAAAAGAAAACGTAAAGTAAATAAAAGTACCCTTTAAAGGTGAAGTACGTAGTTTTGGTAGAGAAATGTACAGATTTTTACACCAAATCTACAGACTGCCCCTTTAAGACATTCAGAGTTCTGAACAATGGAAGAAAAGGTGCAAAGTTTCATTTTTAAAGACTCCAATTAATCAATCAATCAATTATTTTATTGATATTGTAGTGGAGTTACGAGTTTTGTATTTTCATCTGAGATTTATTGAAGCAGGAAAAGTTAGAGAAAATAAAAGATAACTTTAGTGACGACATGATGTTCCCTCACACAGGTGAACTGAAGGTTCTATTAAAACGACTTAAACACGTCATAAATCATGTTGAGAAGTTACTGAATTAATCATTATTGTTTGTTAAATGTGAAATAAACATGTTTTAATCTGATGACCTAAACAAGAGCAAAGAGAGCAGCGCCCAAAGGTGACACAGTTTACCTTTAAAAACAAACGTCTCCTCCTCCTCCTCCTTCTTCTTCTTCTCCTTCTTCTTCTTCGTCGTATTTCCTCCTTTCCACCTGACCCCTCACGTTAACACTTCATATTTACCTGTTGCCGACCGTAAAGTTTAACTTGATTCAAAAGTTGTGAAGTCAGGAAAAAGTCGAAGGAACCCGGAAGTGTTTGCCAGCCGATTGTTTTTAAAGGTGGATGCTCGATCGATGGTGTCGCTGCGTCCCGGGGGGGCGGTGATAAGCGCAGGTAAAACAAGGTGTAGTCAAGAGCAGCAGAGGAAGTGTTCACACTGTTCAAACAACGACTGTTCTGATCATTTAAGGCTGTTTTTGATTCATCTGAAGAACATATTCAGCTTCTGTAACACAAGAAACTAAAATCAAGTGTACCTCCTAACTCTCAAATTGTTTTCTTAGTTTATCTAGCTTAGCATAAAGGTTCAGTCCACTTTTATTGTCACTTTACAAGGTAAATGTTTCTAAAAATATTCAAATAACATCACATGAAATATGTTAATTAACAGAAAAAGTGTAAAAATTAGTTGAAAAAGAACAAAATAAAAATAAAAAGTGTTTTATTTACAAAGAAGTTTGGCTTATTTACTCATTAAATAACTAATATGACTCTGTAAAAGTTGTACCTGACAAGTAAAAGTCTTACCTTAAAGATATCACTTACGAAAATTAAAAAAATATATTTTATTAAAGTATTAAATGACCGATCTGTAATAAATGATAAAAGTATCTTACTCTCTGATCATTCAGGAAACATGCTATGTTGAAGTGCTGGCTTCTCTGACAACAATGCAGCAGCCAGTATGTCTTATAAACCACATTTACCTGGAAAGTCCTGAAAAACATCTTATTCTAAAATATTAAAAGGAGGAAATAAAACCTGAGTTGATTGTAAGAAGCATTCTCGGTCTTATTTTCCACTTCATTTATCTTCAAAGGATGTTAAGGAGGACTTGGGAGGTAAATGTGGCTTCAAATAAGTCAAATTAAATATTGACTAGAAATGAGACAAATCCATTTGCTTAGATTTCAGTTGTTTGCAGTAATTTCAATTCAAGTCAGAAACTGTAAAACTGTCATTTTTATCTGACCTTTAAAAGTCTTTTTAATTTAAAGAAGTAGACTTAAACCAACTGGTTCTGTCTTTTCTTTGCTCTTAAATGACGGTGTGCTGAATATCAAAGCCTCCAGGGGGCGCCAGAGAGACTTCAACCTCTGATCTTGTTTTTTAAAAATCCTCAAATCTACATTTACCTCCACTTGTGTTTGGATATCATTGGTCAAATAATGAAAAAATGGAAGCACATTTAACAAATCTAAACATCTTGTTGCTGAGGGAAATTCATTACATGTGAAATTAAAAGCTTTTAAAATGTTTTAGTGTGTTACGTCTGACCTTTAGTGATGCTGTCAAACAGTGAACAGGAATTGTTCACACATAAAAAAACCTTCAGACCACAAGAGAGGTCGCAGAGACGAGGACAGAGGGTGGTACTGAGAAGGTTTTCTTAAACTAAACAAGGTTTCCTGTCTGACGGAAAGTGAACATGTACAGAAATGAAACATCAAACTGGCCTCTGAACGAGGGGAAACAGGGGCACACATGTTGTTTTTCGTTCCTGTTTCACTACCTTTAACACACCTTCCTTATTCTTAAGCCTCCTCAAGCATTAAGTCAACAATTCGTTATAATCCCAAGTGATGTACGAGCAACAACAACAATTTACCCCGAATTCACCACGAGCAGGCAGAGCTCACACCTCAAACATCACCACTTCCTGTTGAAGCCCATGAAAACTGATTCAGACTCTATTTATAAGTGACACCAAAAAAGAACGATAATCATGATTTTATTTTTCTATTAGAGACGGCGAACTCAAAAAATGTTCCGCTCAAGGGAAAACAGGTTAAGACAAAAAAAAAAAGAACTTTGAATGAATATAAAGTCTGACGTTATAAAAACTGAAGGTGACTCTGGGATGGTTCTCGTCTTCATCTTCAGCTTGTAATCCGTCACATATGTCACATTAATGTCAGGTGTGATGACACATGCCATGCTCCATCTCCATGACGACTTTACTGCACGTTCGCCTCCTTTTCCTGACGCGCTGCGCTGAAAAAATAAAAATCAAAAACAACAGAAAATGTTCTTAAAGAGACACTTCAGTGACAAAGCTAATATTTATTTTAAATCTAAAGCTCTAATGTATCTCTGCAAATGAATAATAGTTTGGAAAATGTGCCTTTTACATACTTGGATGGATATGTTAAAGCTTTCAGTCATGTATGATAAAGCTACATCAAACAGCCAGATAGCTTAGCTTAGCATAAAGAATCAGGAGGCGACGACCCTTGCCCCTTTTTTCTCACCTCTCAGCCTGCCTCTGTGTATGAGTCCCAGTAAGACGGTGGACAGCAGGTAAGGACTACCCACCAGCAGGTGGCGCAACAGAATGAAGAGAGTCGGCAGGGGGAATGGAGCATCGCGGTCTCCAGGGGGCGCTGCAGAGACGTCAGTGAAAGAGCATTTGGATTCATGGAAACGGATTTCATAAACTTTCGGGTTTTTGGAGTGAAGCCAGTGTGGAAGTACCTCAAACCTGCATTCTCACTAATGGCCAGCAGGGGGGGCATCCCACTGGTTTGCAAAAACAAGTTGACTGAATAGAAGTCTATGAGAAAAGGAGCCTCGATTACTTTCGTTTTCCGAATGAGTTTATGGTCTAAAGCAGTGGTGTCCAAACTTTTTTTCTTGCGGGCCAAAATTGTCGTGTTAGAATCGCTCGTGGGCCACAGGTTTTGTTTTTTAAAATATAGTTGAAAAAATAGTAAGGCTTTGTAGATCAGAATCAAAAGGCTCGCTAAAGAAACCCTTTAATAAAAGGAAATCAAATATTTTGATTTCTTCGTTCTACTTTATTAGTTTTTTTCTCAGAATCAAGTCTGTAACGTGGTTCATGTTTTTAGAAAAGCTTTCTGAAAATAGTAAAAGCTGTAGAAGTAAAACAACAACAACAGACATGTTACTGAACATTTTCTATTTTAGGAATATTGTTCAGCCCTTGTTAACATGAAAAAGAAAAATAAGATAACGTGCCGATCTTAATCGAGGCCTTGGGCCAAAATCTTCTGATTCTTCATTTGAAGTCACGGGCCGCAAAAAATCCCCTCAAGGGCCGCAAATGGCCCTCGGGCCGCACTTTGGACACCCCTAGTCTAAATCTTTAGTTACAAGTCTTCTTAGATACTAAACCTTCTAGATAACTAAAAGACTCAACACAGTAGTCAAAAAACCAATGGATGACATCATGGTGGTTGGGTCCAGTTTTTATATCCATCCTATTTCTATCACACAAGAATCTAAGACTTGTCCAGTGAAACCAGTATTTGGTCTCATCGTTTTCCCATTGCAGGGAATATTCATGATAAAAAGTGCTAAAAGTCTTTAATGAAGAAAACACCAATCTCAGGTTTGAGGGCACACGATGAACAATAAAAGAGTCTTACCTCTGACTGTCAGCCTGCTCTCTGGTGATTCATCAGATCCAAGAGTTTTACACTTGTAGAGTCCTTCATCAGACGCTGAAACTCTGTACAGAGTCAAGTGTCCTGTGTTGCTGCCATGAATAAGGAGGCCGTCTTTGTAGAATTCAGTTTTGAGGACCGAGCAGGACGTTTGAATTTCTTTACATGTACATCTCAAGGTCACATTATCATTCTCCGTCACAGGAAGTCCAGGACTCTCCAGGATCACAGAGCCAGCTGAAGACAGGAAATACATCAAACATGATTGTCTGGTACTGTCTTTGAATAAATATCAGATTATCCAGGCATCATTTTCCACCTGTGGTTTAAGCAGGCCTTCTCTCGCTAATCAGGCTGCTAATTGGCTAGCCTGTTGTTGTAGCCTGAAGGCCAATGAGGAACTTCCTTGAGTTGGTGAGTTTTTGAACCCTACACAGCCTACCAGTGACGGTGATGTTGACGCTGTTGCTGGTTGCCGCCTGTTCATTTTCACACCAGTACTCTCCGCTGTCAGTGGCAGGAAACGCAGCAGAGATGGAGCAGGAGGACAGACATGGACTCACCTGTACAGGAACGCAGCAAAGAAAATGTGGGTGGAGAGAAAAACATTTCATTTGGCAGCTTTAAGGCCATCCAGTTTGTTGTTTGTTTTTAAAACACAAACCTCTCCGTCCTTTGTCCTCTTCATCACTCTCCACGTGGTCCTATGTTCACCCTCCTCCTGCTCACAGCTCACAGTGAAACATTCATATTTGAAGAACTGAGATTTATCTGGAGACATCATCAGAGAGACTGGATCGAAGTCAGAGACGAGGAGAAGATGGTTTCAAGGGGATGTGAGAGCGATTACATTGATTCATGTGAGATCACAGATTATAAACAGATACATGTTTATAATCTGATGATTTATACTGGATTATTACATATTTAACAAATGGATCATTTTTCTACCTCGAGCAGCCCCAGAGTCCAGAAAACTCAGCACTAAATAAACCAGAGAGAAAAACCAACACAGTTAACTGAAGGAACAACAGATCATGAGATATAATAACTCATTTCAGACACTCTTATGTGTCTCTAGTCTGTCCACAAATCATGAGAAAAGTCCATCCTCTCCGTCTTCTGCCTGCTCCACTTTTCAGAAAATGTGTGCTCAAACAGGCCGTTTGGAGATTTTCCCTTCATGACATCACAAAGGGCAGTAGCCCCTCCCCCAGGTGGGTGACACTCCCACAGCTAGGTGTTTGTTCTGCCCTCTGAGTCTGCCTTCTCACCGTAAACAATAGGACATGGAGCGAGAAAGACCGAGTACACCCAAGCCCTTCCAGAGAGGGGGCGTGGTCAGACACAGCTCATTTACATATTTAAAGGTACAGACACAGAAACAGCCTGTTCTGAGCAGGGCTGAAATAGAGGGGTTTATAGACATGATCAAATACAGGATCAGAGTGGATTTAGAACAAGAAACTTCACACACATGTTTTTGGGAGCTCTGAGACTTATTTAAACTGAAGAGGAGGAGAAGACCTTTACAGTTTGAGTCTGCAAAGTAACTGTGTCAAATCCCTCGATCAATCACTCAGCAAGCGGTATTTGTAAAGCAACTTTCACACAAATCATATGCAACTCAAAGGGCTTTACGGCGACTGAAAACAAGAAAAAACACAAAATAATGACAAACATGTCACAAACAAAAATGGATTTGGAATGGCACTCTTGGCTGAGTGGTTAGGACGCCACTTCTGCCCCTTTTAAAGATGAAAATACTTTCAAGCGCCCCCACCCCGTCACCCCACACATCAACACATTAACATAAACCATGCAATAGCGACACTGTTTAATACAGCAGTGTATATTTATATTTGGAAATATTGTAAATACATTCAGTTCTGGGTGCTGGACAGGAAATATATACACAAAGGCGAAATTAAGACTTAGTCTGCATACCAGAAGCTGCTCTAATTTACATTAGAAGAAGAGGTGAAAGTTTTTAATGATGGGGTAAAATAATATGAAGTCAGACGAGTCCTCACAGTAAAAAACAAAACATGATACAAGAAAAACAGAAGATTGAGATGTGACTTACAGAGAAGCAGACGGAGAGACGACACCTCCATCCTGACCTGCTGCACGACTGTGTGAAACCTGCAGACAACAAGGTGACGACTTCCTGTAAGTACACTTCGAAAGTGTCATCAGTCACATGTATTCAGTGTTATCAACTGAACTAAAATATAAACTACTAAACCTCAGAAGTAATGCACTACAAAATACAAGGCAGTAACACAGAAAGGCTGCACTTCTTTTTTATTTTAGACACCAAAGTGCTGCTTTTTTAGAATTAAATACGAATCATTAATAAAAAAAGATTAAATTATGATAAAGCTGAAGGCTATACAACTTTATTAGTGTCCCAGAAACATCTAAGAGTGCATAAAGAGCCATATTAATGCTGATTTAATCCTTTAATTCAGTTTTATTTTCTGTCTGATGTTTGATTTTAAACACAATCACAAAACAGAGAACTGATAACAACAAAATCTGTTTTTATTGTAAAAATGCAACTGAAGAATATATAAAAACAATATTCATATTCTAAATTTGTCCAAAAACGTCAGAAGCTTTAATTGTTGCTTACCTTTTGCTGGTTTATTATCTAGTCCTTCTCGCGACATCTTGTGGGTCGATGTCAGCATTGCAGGCGCGAAGATTCACAGTTCTCGCGATACTCTACCAGTCCAAAGGTTTTCCCATTCCCCACTATGGTTTCCAGTCCAAACAAACTGCGGTTGGAAAAAAGTTGAATTTGATCCCAGAGAGGCTTTTTTTTCTGTCGGTAAGAGACGCCTATAACACGGTTTTACTTTTTAAAACTTTATTTATACACTCTTTATTTCACACGAAGTCATTTCATCGAGTTAACGTTTTTAAACGTTTCGACACCTTAACGGTCAGACCGGCTGACAGGAGAAGTGACGTCACATTCAGATGTTTAGTTAAGTATTAAATTAGCTTCTCAAAGAGTTGTTATTCAGTGTTTTGTTTGAATTTTTCCAAACTAACAGCTTGAATTTTAATATTTTTTTCCAACATATACATATTTTCACGTCTCATCTGTTGTAAAAATTAATAGATTTATTTTTTTTAAAGCAAAGACACAATATTCTCATAATTGTTCATCATAGGAGGCCAAATATCTTCAATTTAAAAAGATTTATTTTGGGGCATTTTTGCCTTAATTTGAGAGATAGGACAGTGGACAGAGTCAGAAATCAGTGAGTAAGAGATCAGGGATTTGAACCCGGGCCGCCCGCCTGGAGGACTACAGCCTCTGTACATGGGGCGCGCGCTCTAACCACTGCGCCACCAGCGCCCCTTATCTTCAATTTTTTTTGTGTTGAAAATAATAAAGTTGTTCTTTTCCTAATCTGTATATTTATAGAGGCTTCAATGAAGACGAGCCCAAGATGATGATGATGATAGTGACGGACAGTTGATGTGATCTGAAGAGGAGGATGAAGATGAGGAGGATGAAGCTGAGGGTGAACCACAGGCAGCTGCAGTTTCTGTCCAGAGAAGAAACATCTGGAAGCTTCCAGAGAGAAGGAACGCTGGGAGTCGGACGGCAGGATGGAGGTCAGACTGTGAACTATAAAATTCTACATGATTCTGTTAAGTTAAAGGCAGGGTCGGTCATTTCCTCCAGATATACTTTTGAAGATTTCGGTTGAAATTGTCTTTAGGTCCTGACAGAAATTAATAACTCATGCTATCTGAAAAAGGGACGAAGAAAACCCGTCATCAGTATCAGTTTTAAGCCTGTAAAAACGTGCATCACTACTATAAACCCCTCTATTTCAGCCCTGCTCAGAACAGGCTGTTTCTGTGTCTGTACCTTTAAATATGTAAATGAGCTGTGTCTGACCACGCCCCCTCTCTGGAAGGGCTTGGGGTGTACTCGGTCTTTCTTGCTCCATGTCCGATTGTTTACGGTGAGAAGGCAGACTCAGAGGGCAGAACAAACACCTAGCTGTGGGAGTGTCACCCACCTGGGGGAGGGGCTACTGCCCTTTGTGATGTCATGAAGGGAAAATCTCCAAACGGCCTGTTTGAGCACACATTTTCTGAAAAGTGGAGCAGGCAGAAGACGGAGAGGATGGACTTTTCTCATCAATGGGGGGTTTGTAGACGGACTAGAGACACATGGTGAAACTTCTTTTATATTATCCTCCTTTGTTTTCCTCTGTTTGATCTTGTTCTCATATGTTCTGCTCTTTTTGAATCATGGTTCCACGGTTCCTCTGTGTCTATTTACAACGCCTGACTCAGTCCGACTTCACTTCCTGAAACTTTTTTGTGAGAGCAGAGTGTGAGTGTTTGACCACCGTCTGTGTTAAAAGGATTCATCCTCAAACATCACCCTCCAGTGTCGAAACATGAAGCCGATGTGTGAAGTGTTAAAACCCTGCAGTTCCTGGAGTGTCCACTAGAGGCTGGCTGCAGAAGCACAGGAAGTCACATACACACCCATTCTAAAAAGCCTGTTTTTACAGCAGAGATGAACATGTTTACAGCCTGGTTCAAAAAACCAAATAGGTGTGATTAGCTCATGTCTGGATGGACACACACTGTACGGGGGGTGAATGTTTTGATGACTCATCAGTTTTGATTTGATGAAGGATAAGAGTTATTCACAATAAGGCGTGTAGCTGACCTGATTGACAGGTGGGCGCGGTGTAACGGTTTGATGGGACTCCAGCGCCCCCTGCAGGAACAGATGGGTGACGTCACTCAGGCTTCGTCCGTTAATATTTACAGTTTATGTTTGTCCTCCCAGTATTAAACGTGTGTGTGTGTGTGTGTGTGTGTGTGTGTGTGTGTGTGTGTGTGTGTGTGTGTGTGTGTGTGTGTGTGTGTGTGTGTGTGTGTGTGTGTGTGTGTGTGTGTGTGTGTGTGTGTGTGTGTCAGATCTGTCTGAGCGGTTCTGTCGGCTTAGAGGAAACCTGCTCTTCATCCTGAAGGAACAGGTGAGAGACACAGGAAGAGAGTTTTCTGTTTTATTATCCTTTTGCATTCCAATCAGGA